TGTTAGGAAGGTTGGGGTTGGAATAGCAGAGCTGTCCATGGAAGAACCTTTGTAGTTCTTGCTGTGTGAATAAAGGCACAGAACCACACATGCACCCTTGATGCAGCGTGTTAGCCAACGGGGCACAGGAATCCATGAACCGTAGGAAGTTGTCACATGTAACTGAGGTGATACAGCTATAGATTGATCATGTAGAGAGCAAGGCTACAATGTAGAACTGCCCACTTTCTGGGCCAAAGAGTTAGGCTTGGCAGTGCATGTTTATAATCCTGAAACTTGGGGGGTCTAAAGCAGGAGGATCCTGGGTTTAAAGCTAACCTGGGCTGTGAGACCCTGTTCCAAAAAAGTCCCAACCAAACAACCAAACAAACAACCAAACAAACACATGCAAAAATTAAAATGACGTGTTCCATGTATGTACATGGCAAAGGGGAAGAAAATGGAATTCATTCATCACCCATATAAGCCGGGCTCTGGGCTAATATTCCCTTCACTGATTTATTGATTTGCTTATCACTACTTACTGCATTCTACAAACATGTTATGGTCCACTGGGCCTGTCCCTGGCCTCATTTCCTCTCTTTCTGAAACTTGCACACTCTGCTTTCTTGAGAAGACTGGCATGTGTGTCCTGAAATAGCCTCATGTAGAGATGATTCTGCAGATTGGGGGTGATGAGAACTGTCAGCCTGTTCAGCCACAACCAGTTTGACCAGGGCCCCTTAAAAGCAACAGCCACGGGTTTTGCTGTCAGAGAAGGGATCGAATAAAAATCAAACAAAAGCTCAAATTGCTAAGAAGGACATTAGGTAAGACAGGAGGGGAGGCCAGAGCTGAGATGAGGAACTGGGTCAGGGGCTGGGACTTGGACTGAGTAAGCAGCTTTAGAATAATAGTTTACAAAGAAAGGCCCTGGGGGTAGAAGTTGAGCAAGTGACTCCTGCTGGGAGCCTGGCAGCTTCTGTCTCACCTTCCCTTGGAGCCACTGGCACTGCATGATGCTCTCTGGAGCAGCATGTTGGGGCTCCGATGGAAGCTGAGAGAGGCTTCAGGCAGTATAGGCAAGCTGGCCTCCTTTCAGGGTCTCTCTGCAGGCTAGGTTGCTGGGTAGTTGGCTTCTAGTAGCTGTCAGAACCTCTATCTTGACATGATTGAGCACTCTGGATTTTTGCTCCTTTGGGCACTGAGGCTGGAAGAGAATGGGTGTGCTTTATTTTTGCTTACAAAACCCAAACATTTGGTTTCTATCCTGACAGACTGTGACCACTCTGTTCAGCTAAATGCAGAGACTTTGGGAAAGAGAGATGAGCTTTTCTGAAGAACTGCAGAAGGAACCCTGCTAGGGAGAGACTGAAAGCTGGGACTATTCCCTGCCCTCCTGTGTGATGTTCAGGGACCAAGCCCAGGAGAGGCTGTGGAGGCACAGGCAGCACTACCACTGCATTCACAAATCAGGGAAATCCTAAACCCCAGGATTGAATTTTTGATCACAGGCTTATTCCCCGAGTGACTATTCTGTGCTGGGGTGGAGATTTCTGGTAAGGAGAAATATGACCCTGGCTCTGCCCTGCAGAGAAGTCCAGGGATTGGCTCACCTCCACAGAAGGAGGACTATGTGGATGAAGCTTTAAGGGACATGGACATGTTGTTCAGGGAGCGTGGAGGAGGGGACTTTTTTCCTGCTATCAGCATCTAAACCCTGCTGAGATTTTATTGTCCATCTGCTAAAGAACTAAAGTCCTTTCTGCTTAAAACCGAGGACTCATATTTTTTTTAACCTTGCTGGCCACCAGATGTACTTTTGAAAACTTATGAGAAACATCAGATCTTGGGCTAACTGACAGCTTGCCAAAAAAGGAGCTGGGAGCGGGAAGGAGTCTGTTCTATAAGATTCCTGTTCTGTTCTCAGAGACAGCAAAGTTTAAAAGATTTCACATCAATAGGTTGATGCCCTTATCCCAGTGGGGATCTGGGATAAATGTCCCCATGGACATTTGTCAAAATCATAGTCAGACCAAGATTCTTAACTCCCATTTCACTCCCTCAAAGAATGCAAAGCATGTTGCTTTAAAAGTACATTGAAAGTACGCATAAGGTGAAATTAAAACACACATGGAAATCAAATTCTTATGTAATATCCAAGTTCCACTATTTATAACCTCCACATTTCAAGGGAAGAAGAGGGCTCCCCTTCAATTTGATTTTCACAACTCAGCAACTGGCTGTAGAAAGGGAAGATGCTCAGTAGAGAGAGTTGGGAGACTGGGAAAACAAAACGGAAACACTTATGCTGACCAAGTGCTGCCACAAAGCTCAGGCGCAGCAGATACTCACCAAACATTTGTTCCTTTCCCTCACAGAGTGATTAAGACCCCACTGAAGCTGGCATGGCCTCAGCACAGTCATACAGGAGCAATGGACAATTAGGGCGTTGCTCAGATATCCATAGATAATGACATATTTGGCTTTGGATTGAGACTCTCTCCAAAGCTTTTAGGTTTATGGTTTTAATTATATAAGCTAGATTGGAAAAAAGAAAGGAGATGTGGATGTGCTTTGTTCAGCATTCTTTACTGCAAATGAAAAAGCTCAACAAGTCCTTGCTCTTTATCTCTGTTCCCATCCCTGTCACATTGCCACATAGGGCTGGAAACTCAATAGGGGGAGACTGAGAAGGCAAATAAAGTTTACTCAGTTTCCTCATTTAATGTTATGTCTTACAGGGTTTATACTGAGTACAATATTGTAAAACTGTAATAATTCAACTGTAAGCCTAAAAATTTACAGCCAACTTTGAAAGAGACACATCTTAGCTCTGGAAATTGTTACTGAATATGTCAATGCTGTTGTCATGAAATGCCTCTTCTAAGTATGTGGTTATTAAATAAATAAAATTTACTCAGTTTCATCCATCAGCTATCAACTGTGTTTTGCACTGTATATTATTTCTTCCTTATCTCCTCCTCCTCCTCTTCCTCCTCCTCCTCCCCCCTCCTCCTCCTCTTCCTCCTCCTCCTCTTCCTCCTCTTCCTCCTCCTCCTCTTCTTCTTCCTCCCCATCATCCTCCTCCTCTTCATCCTCATCTTCTTCCTTCTCATCTTCTTCCTCCTCATCATCCTTGTCTTCCTCCTCCTCTTCTTCCTCCTCCTTTTCTTCCTCCTCCTCTTCCATCTCCTCCTCCTCTTCCTCCTCCAGTTCCTGCTTCTTCTCCTCCTTCTCTTGTTCCTCCTCCTTCTTGTCTTCCTTCTTCACTTTCCCTTCTTCCTCTTCCTCCTTTTCCTTGTTGTCTTCCACCTTCAACAATTTCTGTGTTACACCTGACTCCAGGAAGTCTTGCTCAAAGTTGAGATGTGGATGTTTTCTATAGTGAGACATGATGGCTTATCGCAGGAGGCAATCAGGAGTGTGAAAGACAGTGTGGGTGATAGGATCCTACAGGCCTGGGGGAAGAATGCAGTGTGATCCTCCTCCTCCTCCTCCTCACCTTTCTCCTTTTTTTCTTCATCTTCCTTCACTTTTTGTAGATGAGGAAACTGAGAAACTGATGCTCAAAGGTATCTATGAATTATCCAAGGTCATTTCCAAAATGCAATGAAAGTGTGACATAAAACAAAAGTTCATTTTCTTTGACATTATTTTATGTTGTTTGTGCTGGGATCCGAGCATCTTGGTTCTAGAGCTAATACTGTCAACGTGGAGTGCAAAGTTAGAGTCATCAGAAGAGAGAATGATATGCCAGTGTTGATAAAGAAAAATCTTTGTTTCACTCAAAATGGTATCTAACATTTACATTGCATGGCGTGGTTATCCAAATGTTTTACATCAAGTTCTCATTCTATGACTAAGACAGCAAAGCCTGAGTTTAGTTCAAGGTCATATAGCCAGTAGATGGCAAGATTGGGACTCACACCCAGACCCTCTGACTTTAGTTTGGTTCTCTTACTGCACTATATCTGTGCCATATACTTAGTCACATGGACAGGAGAGACTGGCTGAGTATGGGTGTGAATGCTCTGTGCATGGCGATGCTGGATAGACTGGCTGGGTCTTCTGATGCTCATCCATCTTCGGATGTCAGTGAAACTCCTGCCTTCTATTCACCTTCAGAATCGTGAGGCAGCACATGGTTCCTGAGCTACTGAGTTGGATCATATTTGCATCTCTAAGTTGTAGAAAGCCCTTGTAACACTTTCATGGGTGCTCTGAGTCACACAGACCTCAGAGCAAGGACCTCGTCCTCACCCTTTATCCTCCATACTTTCATGTAGCTGATGGTTATAAAAAGTTACAAAAGGTGACAGGACAGAAAAGACTCCTGTCCCTAGTGCTTGGTTATGTGTATGTCTGGTATGGCTGGGAAGGAAAGGGCTGAGATAGTCTGACAAAGGCCATACTTTTGTAGGTCTTGGGCCAGCTCTTCTCTATAAGCAGAGGCTGATCCCTCCACCATGGTCATTCTGTGCAGTGACTGTCCCCACTTTCTGAAATTCTTCCTGAGCCACAGGAAAGCAAGAGAGCTGGACTGAGGGCTCTCATAGTCCCAAACCCGACCTCCCTCACATGGTGAACTGGGTGGTGAAGAGCCCCACACAAGCCTGGGTGGTAGCCAGCTTCCCATGGGTCTGTCCAGAACAGGGAGTAGCCTTCTGAAGGACTTTTTTTTCAGGTTGAGAAACCCAAATCCTAATCTCCTTTTCTGATGATTTTACAAAAATCAAATTGCATGACAGATGTGCAGATAAACAGAAGTTCACAATCAAGGCAAGTTCTGGAATGGAGCTTATTAGTAGATTTTTTAATGGCCATTAGATTGATAATCACTCACCAGGAATAGCTTCCAGGCAGACCAAACCCATGCATAAGTGGGCCCACACCCATGCTCACCAACACCTAGTTGGCCGGTATATAAGGGGACCCTGTGAGTCTCCAAACAGCACACTTCAGTCTCCAGCCTCGGATCTGCTGGGAACTTTCTACATTTTTTGCTGGGCAGAAGCATCATGAGTTGTCAGATCTCCTGCAAGTCTCGAAGAGGAGGAGGAGGAGGAGGAAGAGCAGGAGGAGGAGGAGGAGGAGGAGGAGGAGGAGGAAGATTCCAGGGCTTCAGTAGCGGCTCAGCCATGGTCTCCGGTGGGAGCCGGAGATCTACCAGCGGCTTCTCCTGCCTGAGCCGTAGGAGGAGGAGGAGGAAGATTCCAGGGCTACAGTAGCGGCTCAGCCGTGGTCTCCGGTGGGAGCCGGAGATCTACCAGCGGCTTCTCCTGCCTGAGCCGCCATGGTGGTGGCACAGGAGGCTGTGGCGGAGGCGGCTTTGGCAGTCAGAGTCTTGTTGGCCTTGGAGGGCACAAGCGCATCTCTATTAGCGTGGCCGGCTACGGTGGTGGATCTGGTGGCCGAGGAGGCAGTGGCTTCGGAGGTGGCAGCGGTTTTGGAGGTGGCAGTGGCTTCGGAGGTGGCAGCGGTTTTGGAGGCGGCAGTGGCTTCGGAGGAGGCCGAGGATTTGGAGGTGGCAGCGGCTTTGGCGGCGGCAGTGGCTTCGGAGGTGGCGGTTTCGGTGGAGGCGGCTTTGGTGGAGGCCGCTTTGGAGGCGGTGGTGGCTTTGGAGGTTTTGGCGGGCCTGGTGGCTCTGGGCCTGGAGGATTCCCTGGTGGAGGCATCCACGAAGTCTCTGTCAACCAGAGCCTCCTGCAGCCTCTTGATGTGAAAGTGGACCCAGAAATCCAGAACGTGAAGTCTCAGGAGAGAGAGCAGATCAGAACTCTCAACGACAAATTTGCCTCTTTCATTGATAAGGTGAGTTGGAGCAGCTGCTCCTCCTGATGAGATGATGGGGATGGGATGCAGTACATGCTGTGGAAAAGAAAGGACAGATTCATCTCTCTTGGGAGCCACTGATGTGACCATCACAGCCTGGGGCATTTGCAGAGTCCAAATGGGAAATGCTGGTTTTGTGGCCGGTGCATTCCATGATAGTTCCTTTGCATTTTATTTTTCAGTCCAAATAAATAATACTTATAGAAATTTCTGGCAATCATAGGAAAGTTGAACTAGACAAGTCATGAGCAGTGAGAGGTGAGATATCTTCATCTGGGGTAGATTTTTCTTCTCCTGGAATGTCAAGATGCTTAAACTTGAAATATCTGTTTGGAAATGAATGAAATTCCAGCCTTCAAGAGAAGCATTCTAATTTGGTGCTAATCCATAAAGTCTTTTGGTGTCACTTTGCGGCGTTGCTATCTTGGCTCCTCGGCTTTGAATTGGACAGGAATTTACAAGGCTCTTAAAAAGCAGGCTTCAGAGCTCTACCTGCCCGCTAGGACTTTCCTGCTTGGTGCCTTCTGCTGCCATGTCAGCAGACGCCTGCTTTTGGTTTTCCCCAGAATTTATGGGACTTTGGCAGAGTACTATGATTGGGAGGGAAATGGCCTGGAGTCTTGGGAGCAGTTGTGAACAAAACAGTGGGTGTGAAGTAGGAAGGAGAGTTCTGTGAGTAGAGAAAGACAGATGCAGTGCTCAGAGTCTATACAGTTTTCCATGTGTCAGGACGGAGCTCTGAAGCTCTGCCTGACACTTTCCAACTTCCCTTGATGGTGGGAACGAGGTACTGTATGACTTCTGTATCTCCTCAAGTATCACCTGAAGTTCTTGGGGTGAGAATGACTGACCTGTGTGACGATGACCTAGACCTTACGTGTTCTTCCTCTGGTCACTGCAGGTGCGCTTCCTGGAGCAACAGAACCAGGTGTTGCAGACAAAATGGGAACTTCTGCAGCAGTTAGATGTGAGCAACCATACCACCAACCTGGACCCCATTTTCCAAGCCTACATTAGCATGCTCAAGAAACAGGTGGACGGGCTCACTGCAGAAAGAGCCTCACAGGATTCGGAGCTGACCAACATGCAGGATCTTGTGGAAGAGTTTGGCGGAGGCCGAGGATTTGGAGGTGGCAGCGGCTTTGGCGGCGGCAGTGGCTTCGGAGGTGGCGGTTTCGGTGGAGGCGGCTTTGGTGGAGGCCGCTTTGGAGGCGGTGGTGGCTTTGGAGGTTTTGGCGGGCCTGGTGGCTCTGGGCCTGGAGGATTCCCTGGTGGAGGCATCCACGAAGTCTCTGTCAACCAGAGCCTCCTGCAGCCTCTTGATGTGAAAGTGGACCCAGAAATCCAGAACGTGAAGTCTCAGGAGAGAGAGCAGATCAGAACTCTCAACGACAAATTTGCCTCTTTCATTGATAAGGTGAGTTGGAGCAGCTGCTCCTCCTGATGAGATGATGGGGATGGGATGCAGTACATGCTGTGGAAAAGAAAGGACAGATTCATCTCTCTTGGGAGCCACTGATGTGACCATCACAGCCTGGGGCATTTGCAGAGTCCAAATGGGAAATGCTGGTTTTGTGGCCGGTGCATTCCATGATAGTTCCTTTGCATTTTATTTTTCAGTCCAAATAAATAATACTTATAGAAATTTCTGGCAATCATAGGAAAGTTGAACTAGACAAGTCATGAGCAGTGAGAGGTGAGATATCTTCATCTGGGGTAGATTTTTCTTCCCCTGGAATGTCAAGATGCTTAAACTTGAAATATCTGTTTGGAAATGAATGAAATTCCAGCCTTCAAGAGAAGCATTCTAATTTGGTGCTAATCCATAAAGTCTTTTGGTGTCACTTTGCGGCGTTGCTATCTTGGCTCCTCGGCTTTGAATTGGACAGGAATTTACAAGGCTCTTAAAAAGCAGGCTTCAGAGCTCTACCTGCCCGCTAGGACTTTCCTGCTTGGTGCCTTCTGCTGCCATGTCAGCAGACGCCTGCTTTTGGTTTTCCCCAGAATTTATGGGACTTTGGCAGAGTACTATGATTGGGAGGGAAATGGCCTGGAGTCTTGGGAGCAGTTGTGAACAAAACAGTGGGTGTGAAGTGGGAAGGAGAGTTCTGTGAGTAGAGAAAGACAGATGCAGTGCTCAGAGTCTATACAGTTTTCCATGTGTCAGGACGGAGCTCTGAAGCTCTGCCTGACACTTTCCAACTTCCCTTGATGGTGGGAACGAGGTACTGTATGACTTCTGTATCTCCTCAAGTATCACCTGAAGTTCTTGGGGTGAGAATGACTGACCTGTGTGACGATGACCTAGACCTTACGTGTTCTTCCTCTGGTCACTGCAGGTGCGCTTCCTGGAGCAACAGAACCAGGTGTTGCAGACAAAATGGGAACTTCTGCAGCAGTTAGATGTGAGCAGCCATACCACCAACCTGGACCCCATTTTCCAAGCCTACATTAGCATGCTCAAGAAACAGGTGGACGGGCTCACTGCAGAAAGAGCCTCACAGGATTCGGAGCTGACCAACATGCAGGATCTTGTGGAAGAGTTTAAAAAGAAGTAAGTGGCCGAGTAAACTGTGGGTGGAGACAGCTATTGCAGGAAGCTGTCCACTCACTGATCTCTCAGCTGCAGTTGTGCTGGTGCTGCAGGGTGATGGGGGAGATGTGTCTGTTGATTATTTGGGAAGAAGACAGGGATTCTGAGAGCATACACACTTGAGTTAATTTATAGAAATCTACCCTTATTTTGGACCTCATAATTTTAATTTTAAAATTCTTTGAGCATGGGTAGTTTGGATGAATCCAGTAGAAAAAAGTAAAAGGAAAAAAAATCAACAGCGTAGAACTAAGCTAACAACTGTTTTCTGGGTCTCAACAGGTATGAGGATGAAATCAACAAGCGCACAGCTGTGGAGAATGAGTTTGTGACAATTAAAAAGGTGAGCATGAGAATGCATTAGGCAGTATGGGAATAAGATGACTTCAAGCCCCATTGTGTCCAGAGACACAGGCTGGAAAACCACTTCAAGTGCACACAGCACGGCCAGAGAAAAGGGGGGACAGGTTCATGGCCAGTTCTCTTAGGAACAAAAGGGTCTTTGTAGTTCCAGTTTTTGTAGATGATTTTCCAAACTGCTCTCTGTATTCAGTAGAGCACTCCCCATAAATAACCCAATTAACTTACATAAAAAATGGGAATACAGAAAGCACTTTATTCGTCTTCTAAAGAGCTGGGAAAGAATGGAACTGTCCTCAGACTGCCCAATTACTGTTGAGTTGTACTGACAGATGTTTGAGCTAGAAGGCTGCAAAGTGTAGGTTCTTGGCCTAGATCCTGCAATGGTTTTGATGAATCATCCAGGTAAATTCAGGAGAGGCTGGATGGACAGGCAGGATGGGAGGACTGATGACTGTGGAAGGGCATGGAGGACACTGTACCAATCATGAGGGCACAACATGTCTCAAGCAGGAGGGAGACTAGCTGGCAAAGCTTAGTCCCATGTAAGCTCACATGGTACTGAGGTGTGTAAGCAGTGGACCTAGGCACGGAGTCTCCTCATCAAGGCACACGGTAGCTTGCATGCCAAAGGAGCATCTGTAGATGCCTGAGATGTTGGAGGGCAGATAATAGGCATTGGAAGGAGGATAGCAGCAGAGAGAGGCTGGACCCACGCAGGGGGCCATTCAAGGTGAGGCATTTGAGTTTCTCCTGAGGCCTCCAACTTCTCTGCAGGACGTGGACAGTTCCTACATGGACAAGACAGAGCTTCAGACCAAGGTGGACATGCTGACCCAGGAGAATGATTTCCTGAGAACACTCTATGATGCGGTAAAGGAGGCTGCCTCGAATAGACCCTTACTTTCTACCCTTTGCCATCAAAGAAAAGTTTTGTCCAAATATTGAGAAGGCTCTGGAATAGGGTTTGTGAACTTACTGATGTCAATATGGTGCCACCATTCATTCCAGACCTCTAGGGGGCTTCTGTAGTGTAGGTACTGGGGAGAGGAATTTATTCCTCTGATGTCACAGGAAATGAAATTTGGGAAATACCAGGTCACCTTTCCACCATCCCCTGTATGTCCAGCTCCCCTTAGGAAGAGTCCTTCTTGTGTCCATTCCTAAACCCACTCTCCTTTAGAAGTTAAAATGCATTATGTCTCCTGTCCCCTTCCCAGCCTATTTTTGAAGTAGGAAGAAAAACTTAAGATATTTGCCGTGGGTCACCTTCTTTCCGGGAGCCCTGCTGGCATGGTGGTAAAGACAGTTTGTTAAGATGCTCATAAATACCCTGCCCTCACCATCACCACAATCCTGAGGACAATCTTATGAGAGGCCTAGAAATAGTGGTGATATCACTTTCATCCCACCCAGGGCATGCCTAGTCCGAGAGTCTGCATTTCCTTGACACCAGGGAGGGGAAGGCCTCCTCATTGCCTGTGGCTGTGGGCAGAAAGTCATGGCCCATTACCCTGTGTGTTTTAGGAAGTGTCCCAACTACAACAGACTGCCACTGATACCAACGTCATCTTGTCCATGGATAACAACCGGAATCTGGACCTGGACAGCATCATCTCTGATGTTCAGTCTCAGTATGAGGTCATCGCCCAGAAGAGCAAGGCGGAGACAGAAGAGCTGTATCACAGCAAGGCAGGTCTCGGGGGGAGGCGGGGGAGCCACAACTGAGCTTCAGTCCTAGCTGGGCCATGTACAGGAAGGTCATTGGAGTGTTTATCTCATGGAAGTGGGACATCATCCTCAAGAAAGTGTGGAGAATGACACCAAATCCTCAGGGGGCATGCGAGATGGTCTCCCATCTGCCGTGAACACAGCCATCACAATCAGCTTAGCTGCCCATCCTTGGCTGGTCATCAGCCTTTCTTTAGCTCAGGTTAAACCTTCCTCAGATTGGACTTTCCTGTGACTGTTCCCCTCTTCCCTCATCAGTATGAGGAACTTCAGGTCACTGCTGTGAAACATGGGGACAGCCTGAAGGAGATCAAGATGGAGATCAGCGAGCTAAACCGTACAATTCAAAGGCTACAAGGGGAAATATCACATGTGAAGAAGCAGGTGAGGCTGGAGGCTCGGGTGGGATGAATTTCTATGTGTATGAGAGTGAGAGCGTGGGAGAGAGCTGGAGAAGCTAGAATCTGTTTCCACTCATGCCAGTCTCCCCCAGCTACACGTAATTTAACACTGTAATAACTTTTAGGGTATTCCAAAAAACATTTCAAAAGTAAGGAAAGAATTGTGCTCAGTTCTTGGCTGTCTACACTAGTAAATGGAGCAAGAGCATAGAAAAGAAGAGTTGGGTTGACTTGCTGTGACTGTGAAATGTAGCTTCCTGTTCTGGCCAGGCAAAGGCCCTAAGTACCAGCTGATTGGGTTCACAAGAGGGGTAATGAGTGGGAGGGAGCTAACCTGGGCTGGATATTAGGTTAGAACAGACAGCAAGGGGCAGCGTCGACTCTGTAAGCAGCAGAAGTTCTGTACTGAGTGTTTTTATTTGCACGTATAAAATGGGATGGATGGCGATTGCCTGTAACGGAAGGGTCAAAAGCACCATGAGGAAAGCCTATGGGTCCAGTCGAAGGATGTAGGAGGAAGATGGCCCAGGGACAGCAGCTGTAAGTCTTAGCATAGCTATCTGCAACGTCTATTAACTCCAGGGGCAGGGGCACCCAAGACCTTCAGCAAGTCTGGCCTCCCACGCTGAGTATCTTGCTCCTTGTCACTCTGCCAGGCAGATCTCATTCTAAACAGAGGCCGTCTCTCCTTTTCTCATAGTGTAAGACTTTGCAAGACTCCATTGCAGATGCAGAACAGCGTGGAGAGCATGCCATCAACGATGCCAGGGGTAAGCTCACTAACCTGGAAGAGGCTCTGCAGCAGGCCAGAGAGAACCTGGCCCGGTTGCTGCGTGACTACCAGGAGCTCATGAACGTCAAGCTGGCCCTGGACGTGGAGATCGCCACCTACCGCAAGCTGCTGGAGGGCGAGGAGTGCAGGTGAGGGGCACTGGTAGGGAAGAAGGTACCCTGGTCCCTCTCCTTTCTCTTGGAACCAGGGCAGGAGTGAAGGCAGGGGAAGCTGAGAACTGGGCAGGGCTTTCGACAGATGAGACTCAGCAGTCACTATGCTTCTTAAGCAGAAATTCAGGATATAAAGCATCATCATTGTACTCTTATTACTACATAAGGATCAGCATTTTATTATAATTAATTAAACCAGATGATAATTTACTTTTAAAATTTTTTATTTTTTAATATTTTATTTTTAATTATTTTATGTGTATGAATGTATTACCCACATGTATGCAAGTGCACCCATGTTGTTCAGAGCCTTCTGAAGTCAGAAGAGGGTGTCAGGAACTGAACCCAGTTCCTCTGCAAGAGCAGCCAGTGCTCTTAACCACTGATCCATTTCTCCAGCCCCTAGATGATATTTAAACATCCTAGTCTTTTCTAAAGGAGAAAACAAAATGATGTGACACTGAGTTATCCTAGACAGCCTGAAGGGTTAGTCTCTAAGTCTGTAGAGTAAGTCCCAGAATAGAGTGACACCATCAGATGTGTCAGAGGGACACACCTAGTTCTTCTAAGGCTTCCAGAGTGACCCCAGACTAATTTGCCTCCCTCAAAGAGGGGCCATTTGCTTCCTCTGTTACTGGCATCCTTGGTGACTTAAAGTGGCTGAAGCTTTTGGAATGGATAAAGCCCTGGGTATCAGCAACCAGCCTGACCAAAGAGTTGCTCTTCCCAAGCCTCTGCTTGTCCGAGACGTAATGTTTTCTGTTTCTGTGGAGAGGCTGGCACTGAAATCTGGGCTGGCACTGCCAAGGCTTTGGTGGAAGCAGAGAAGACTGGGAACTAGGGAAGAGCAGGCGGCCTCCACAGAGCTGCAGTTCCATCTGAACTGAATGTTCGTAGTACAGCCTCATTTTAAAATGTTGGGCGTGGCAGGGATTCTCAATAATAGATCCCCTGAGGTGGATGTAAATACAAAACGGGTTGCACAGTCAGAAGTGGCTTAGCTTTTTAGTCACTCTGGCTCCACAGCGCAAGTGTTCATTTTAGTCAGAGCAGAAACTTGAGATGGGTGGGATCTGTCGCCATCTCTGTCATCCGAGAGAATAGAAGAAAATGGAATCTACACGCTCTCGTGGCTATTGTAGTGGCTAAACTGCACATTAGTAGGTGGAAATTATAAAACAGTTTCATTCAGGTCTGCAGAGTCCAGACACCATCATAAATCCTTTTCTGTCTCCTTGACAGGATGTCTGGAGAATTCAATGATAACGTGTCTATGTGTAAGTAGTGGGATATGGGCCTGTCTTATGGGGCAGTGTGTGGCAGAGGTGGGTGGCGGTGGTCGGAATTGCTGGAGTAACACCATCTCTCCCACAGCGGTGACAAGCAGCAGCATTTCCTCAACCGTGACATCTAAGGCTGGCTTTGGCTCTGGAGGCCAAGGTTCTGGAGGAAGAGGGTTCGGTTCTGGAGGAGGAGGAGGAGGAGGAGGATACAGCTCTGGAAGTGGCAGTTACGGCTCAGGAGGCAGAGGATCTGGCTCCAGAAGTGGCGGTGGAGGAGGCAGTGGCTCTAGAGGGGGCTCTGGCTCTGGAGGAGGAGGAGGATACAGCTCTGGAAGTGGCAGTTATGGCTCAGGAGGCAGAGGATCTGGCTCCAGAAGTGGCGGTGGAGGAGGCAGTGGCTCTAGAGGGGGCTCTGGCTCTGGAGGAGGAGGATTCAGCTCTGGAGGAGGCTCCAGGGGAGGCTCTGGCTCTGGAGGAGGAGGATTCAGCTCTGGAGGAGGCTCCAGAGGGGGCTCTGGCTCTGGAGGAGGAGGATTCAGCTCTGGAGGAGGCTCCAGGGGAGGCTCTAGCTCTGGAGGAGGAGGATCCAGCTCTGGAGGAGGTTCCAGGGGAGGCTCTAGCTCTGGAGGAGGAGTTTCTAGCTCTGAAAGAGGTGCTTCTGGCTCAGGGGAAACTTGCGGCTCTGGCGTGACCTTCTCTTTTAGATAAAGGTGGGCCCTGTCCTTGATTCTTCCACTCCAGCACGTAGGCTGTGTTTCTGTATCTCTAACTGACAACAAATTCAATTTTTGTCACCTCTGATGGCATTTTGGGGGGTAATGAAAGATCTCTCCTAAACAGTTGAGGCAGTGATACCTACTGTGTTCTGGGGAAGAATCTGTGTTGTCCCAGTGTGTCTTTCAGCCATACCCCACTCCTGGCCTCCTGGGACTCCTTGCATTGCCCATTTGGTGGTCTTTTCCCGATGGTGTTCTGCTGAGGGCCCCAGGGTAGCCTGCTGATTCCAATCCTGACAGTGATCTAGGGAACTATGCTTCTGTGTACATAGCCCCTCTTGTGTACTCTGCTTTCTGAGTGCTGTGGTATAGGTGTCTGCATAATAAACTTCATTTGCAATTGATATTGTGTGATGCCTGTTGAATGTCAAGCTTTGGTGGACATGCTGGTCACAAAGAAAGGACATTTGGGAATGATAAAGAGGGGCCCTGGGGAAGGGATGAGCCCTTGAGGGAGGGGTGGCTGGAGAAGCTTGGGGAATTTTCCTCTGGGACGAAGGAGCAAGGGTGGCCTTGGAGTCGAGGTGGTTGAGACAGTCTCAGAAAGGACTTGGGGCTGTGGCCTTGCCAGATGGTGGGCTGGGAGGATTTGTGGAAAATTTTCTTTCTAGATAGAAGCACTGTTCTTGAGAAGATTTTCCCACAGATTGCCCTCCTGGCTTCAGACAAAAGCTTCATTCTGAAGTCACTTCTCAGGGCAAGCCAGCTGAGTCCCAAGCTTCTCTGCAGGGCAGGACATACTCAGCCTAGCATAGGCCAGGTTTGTTCCCATTCTGAAGTCACTTCTCAGGGCAAGCCAGCTGAGTCCCAAGTGTCCACCCAGCTTCTCTGCAGGGCAGGACATACTCAGCCTAGCATAGGCCAGGTTTGTTCATGTCCCTGTGAGTATCCTTTCCCTAGGTACTCTGGATCAGACTAAAACAGAACACCTGAATGGGATCGCCTACTTTCACAGCACAGCAGCCTTGTCGTACTTAGCATATCAAGTGCCCTCTTTTCCCCCCTAATTCGAGGGTTCCCTGGAGTCTCTGCCCAGGGATGTGCCACTCAGGTTATGCTTCTATGGGTATGGGGATGATTTCAGCCCCTTCTTCCCCAAAGCCTTATCACCTGACTGGAGCTTCCAGGAAGATCAGGCATGCTTGGGCAGCTTGGGTTGGCATTAGATGGGCGAGAGGTAACAGAGGACAGACAGCGGTAAAGCCACTCAGAGGATGCAGGAACAAGTGGCAGATACGGGAGGTGTCCATAGAAAACAGGTGCTTTTTGTTGGGCCAGAGCATCCAGGGTGAAGGATGGAGGGTGCTGAACAGGAGGATTTCTGAGGGCCGCAGATGACAAGGTGTCAGCAAAGAAAGGGGTCTGAGCACCCACACAAGGTCTGTTGCCCAGAACAGGGTTGAGAACTGACAGGCTTTGACCAGGTGGGAGATGTCTGTGGAGGTGAGGGTGCAAACTGGGAAGAGGCATAGGGGTATTGGTAGTTTTAGGGTCCAACTGTGAAAACAGGAACACAACCCTAAACTGAGACTAGTATTCCCAGGCATGTCGGGGAAGGGAGCTCCAGCAGTCAGTGAATTTGAATTTACACTTTAGGCAAAGAAACAGGTAAGTCCTGGGAGAAGGCATAGACTCCTAACCTCTATCTCCCAGGTCATGTTCTGTCTAAGGGCTTCGGGAGCTTGTGAGATGTCTGATGACTTCTGAGGGGTAGACAGGAAAGACAGGGCAGGTGGCAGTTTTGAATCCCACCTATTTAATTCTGATAGTCTCAGTGATCTGCATCTCAGTCCTTGTGTTCCCATGCCTTTGCTCACTGAGACAGCTCACTCAGACTATCTGCTTTCATATTGGACTCCAATATCCAAATTAGCCTTGCCTGTTAACTCAGATGGATATGACCTGAGGCTGTCAGAGGTGGTTGGGCAAAAGGCTAGCTCTGCAGAGGGATTCTTTGTTCCCTCTGGAGTAGCATGGGCTAGGCTAGAATCTGGTCACAGTCTCCTCTGCTTGCTTCCATCAAATTTAATTATTGACTTATCTCGTCCTGGGCTGCAGAAGGCAGGTAGGCCCAGGCAGAAGGGCTGTATGAGTTCCAGTTCCATAGGGAATAGGGCTGAAGGTCTATTCATACTCAATAGGATCCCTCCAACTGGCCTGCCAAGATGGGTTCAGAATCACGTAGCCCTGGGCATCTTGGCCGGCCAATCTCGGAATCTCCTTCTTTGTTTACGGGCACCAATCCAAAAATATGGGAGGTGGGCCGAAGTGTGGCCCCCAGGACCGGATCTAAGCACAGTCATGTGTTCCCAGCTCTGGGAGCCCTCTCCATTATGTTTAATAAACTTTTGCTGTTGCTCTCTCTGCATTTTGGTCTTCTTTCTTTCCCAGACAATTAACACCTTGCCTGTCTCTTGGAACAAATCCAAACCCCTAGACATCTCTAGCCAACCTACATCAGACCTTTAAACAGCTTGTTAGAGATTTAACTAAGACTTTTTTTCTGCTCTTCACAAACTCTTCTTCCTGACATGATGACAGTCCTTGGACAGGCTGGCCTCCTCCAGGAGGCCCATTTCAACTGATTGCTCAGACTACCTACACCTGCATTGTCCTGGGAGCGAGGAGATTTTGATGCTGATCTTTAGCTTTGGGGTACCTATCCAACATCGGAGGAATTGTTTCTCCTTCCAAGCTTTATTTCTAAATGACTTTAGCAGGAAGATTGAGAGAACTTCTAGGGACCTTGCATCACTGAAGGCAAGACCCCAGTCTGTGTATTCTCCATTTTCCCAACCATAAAGGTTCAGAACCTATCAAGGAGGCTTAGGAACCTGTGTGAGGATTAGTGTGAGCACAGGACACTCCAAATTGTTCTCATTCTGCTTACATTGTCTTACATCACAATGGAAGTGAGGGACTTAGCCTGGCTACACTGAAATAAAGACAGAGCATCCTGTGAGAAACCCACAGTCTAGTTAAGGATGGATGAAAAATGTATGAGCAGCTATTCATGCAAAGCAGAATGCAGTTGATGTAATGACCACTCTGGGATCTGTTGTGTGTATTAAAGCTAGCTGGGCATTTACTAAAATGTACATTCTTGGCTGCAGCTCCCTAGAGTATCCATCACAGAGGAGTGGGGTAGATCCTGGAAACCTGGGTACTTAACTAGCCCCTGGGTGTGCCTGAGGCTGTGGTGTGAGAGCTGTGCCCTGTAGGTTCCATGGTGGGCTCATTTTCAGCACCTAGGACTTCAGTAGGCACGTAATAAAAAATAACAATTAGATAAGAGAATATATGACCTAAGGCAAGTTATGTAACAATTCTGATCCTGGGATTTATGCATTTATAAAACAATAAAGTAATATCTTTTACAGGGCTGCCGGAAAGATTACACACAATAAAAATGATAAATGTTTACTCTGGAGGAACTATGCCTTCACAAGCATGCAGCAGTGTGCCATTTATTACTATAATTAGACAGTATTATGAGACTGGGAAAGGCTTCATAGATGAGATGACTTCACATTCAGGAACTGAAGGACGCATGGGATTAATTCCCAAATGATGACAGTTCTACATAAACACTTCCAGAAGATAGAACAAAGCACACCTTCCATCTTGTTTTATGGGGTCAGTGTTACTGTAATACTAAAATCACACCAAGACATTGTAAAGAAACTAGAGATGCGTGTAGCCCTCATAGATATGGATTCCAAAGTTCTTGTCAATAACATATGAGCAAACTTAACTTAGAAATTAATAAAATTTCTAGGAATGTCAGCAAATAAGCACCCTGCAAACAGAGATAAGAAAAGAGGTCATAGATCAACAAGAAGGAGGTGAACATTTGATTCTTTTTCATCTCCAACAAAGGTTTGGTAGACTTTATTTTTAACTCTGGCAGCCTCTTCCCCACTTCCAGCTGACCTGCCTGGATGTGTTCAAGGTGACATACCCCTAGACATATCTCAGCTTGAATGAAGCTGTGTGTTTCTGAACTCCCTCTTTCTTGTTTATCAATCCAAAAGGGAAAAGGGACCTGCTGTATATCACCCACTTGAAAGTTCCAGAGAAATGGTAGTAGATGTTGTCAGAAAGTTTGCTCAGAATCATACCAACTCCATGCAAGCTCTCAATGTGTCCCCTCAGTATTTATGGATTCTGTATTTGATTCAAGCCCACACATGTGCATTTAACTCTAGAATCATTTGGCTGAGGTTCAAATTCTGTCTCTACCAGTTAACTGGTTGCATCATTTGGGTGAAGCACTTAATCTTTTGAACCTTAGTTTCCACGTCTAAAAAAAAAGAAGATATTAGTAATAGCTACCCCCTGGTGCTGTTGTCAGGATTAAGGGGGATTATCTTCATAAAATACCTAGTAGTTCTAGAATAAAATAATAGGTCAATAATGTTCTGTGTGCATCTGTGGAAGAATATGGACCTGAATATTTATTTTTGCAAAATGTCAATGGCAAAAGCTAATACTACTTCCATTCCCCTAAAGGGTTTAAATAATACTCTGGTTATGTAGCAAGGTACCATTATTACTGTATTTGACACATTTACAAAACCAAGACTGAGAAGCCCACAGTCAGAATTAGAAAATGGTACAGTTGGAGCTGGGAGTCTACAACTGTGGTGTTGCCACACCCACTGTCTGCTCCTCTCTCTGTCTGGCTCTCAGAGATCAACCTCAAGTGTTGTTCCTCAGGAACTGTGTACCTTTTTGAGACGGGACCTCTCACTGGGACCAGGGGTTTGCCAATTAGGCTGGTGAGCCTGAGCACCTACCTGTCTTCCTCCCTGGCACTAAGATTACAAGTGCATATCACTCACTTGGCTTTTTATGTGGATGGTGGGGATTGAAATCAGGCCCTCATGTTAGTGCGACACACTTTACCTATGAGCTATCTCGCCAGTCCAA